GAGGCAGATCAGTTGCCGGCTTCTGGACGGCCGCTCACTGCGGCTGCTGGCCGCTCACGCTGGCTGCTGGCCACACACGGTAGCCCATGGCAACCCACCTGCCGTCGCTGGCGACTCAGGGCAGCCCAGCTCCAGGTTGAGCTGTTGTTCAGCATCTTAGCTGTGGAGGGCAGTATCACTGGGCCCTCATATGTGGGATCCGAACCGGGGCCCTCTGGCGTCCCAAGCCAGTTCTTAACCAACGCGCCACTCGGCCGCCCCTAGAAGCACCCATTCTTAATGCGATGATATTTAGCCCTAGTATGATAGTTTTAGTATTTATGTTAATAATGGAATGTTTTAACTGTGGGCTCATATCAGCAGTATACGTGATGGAATAATAGCAATGATAATAATGATGGTAGCCAACAAAGTCCCTTGGGAAAATGAACTCTGGTCACCAGCTAAGGTGGCATACATGGAAACACACTGTCCTGGGAAATAATCAGGAAAGAAAAAATATAGTTAACCGTAAATTGCTTCGTAATGACATAAAAAGGTACAAGTTCTAACCTTGGAAGGTGTGAAAATCATCAGACTAGTAAAAAAGTATGATCAGACATAAATGGTATGTAAAATGCATTCTGCTATGCTGCGTATTCTAAACTTTCACCTCATTGGATAATTCTAACACATGGAGAGGGGAATCTCATTAGTCAGTCTGTTCTCCTGAGGGGATATAAAGGGTGTTAAAAACAAAAATCTGAATCCAGAACGGAGGTCATGAGAAAGAAACTGAACAGGGTTGGTGGTCGGTTGTGGAATTGAGCCCTGTAACTGGGCTAGGGTCCTGTTCCAGGATTCCCAGAGACAGCTGGGAACCGGCCTTTTCTTATTGGTTTTTTGTTTTGTATGCTTTGTATTTGTTTTTCTCTTTAGTCTGCTTTATCCTAGAATAGTTTCCATGCTTTTTTTTTTTCTTTTGATCATTCTTACCATTGGCTTTAAAAAAAAATTTTTATTGGGGAACAGTATGTTTTTCCAGGACCCATCAGCTCCAATTCAAGTAGTTGTTTTAATCTAGTTGTGGAGGGCGCACCTCAGTGGCCCATATGGGAATCGAACTGGCAGCCTTGGTGTTATGAGCACTGCACTCTAACCACCTGAGCCAACCAGCCATCACCTCCTCCTCATTCCACAGCACAGAGTGCAGGAAGAACTTGGGGCCAGGTTGTGAAGTTGGCCTGGGAAAGCTGAGGGTGATTGAGGAGGACTGTGTTTATGTCCACGTGTACTCTGCATCATGTCCTGCACCATGTCATGCCGAGATTAATGGGGTTCACTTGGCTTAGGTGAGCGGCTCCTTGGCATGTATCCAGCAGAGACTATGTTCCATCCATTCCGATTTATCATCTGCCACTCTGCACGGTCCTTTTGAGGGGACCTAAAAGCACATCCCTCTGTCTGTCATTGGATAATGTGGCTGAACTCTCCCCACTTTGTATCTTGATTCTTAATGGCATTGACTGCTCGCCACCCCCCCAGATCCGTGTCTTTAAACAGCATTTATCACAACTCACTAGCAATTTGTAAAATCAAATTTGTAATATCAAGCAGCATTGAAAGCAATAGGATAGGATAGAGAACATCAGACAGCCACACAACTAGAAAGAGGAAATATGGTTTTGTGAAACCTTTGTGTTCTCACAAACACATATGTATTATATCTCTTACATACATATATTTAGATTGTGGCGTATATATGTTTTATATTAGTAAGATATATACATATATACAAGTCATATGAAAATGTACTATTGGTCATGGTCACAATTTGTAAGGCACTGTTTTCTGTAAATAAGCTTTCTTTGGTGGACAAATGATATCCGTGTGTAATCTCTGTCAGCTTCACTACTATTGACTTATCAATATAGTGGCCATGCACTCTGAAAATTCATATTTTAAATAGCTTCTGCGCTATACTTCATTGCTGTTATCATTCAGGTGTTTGGACAGCTAGGTATTTCTAATAATACTGCTCACTAGGGAAGAACTTGGGGCCCCTCAGTGAGGCAGACTTCAAGAGTCACATGTCTTAATTCTAATCCCGGACAGTGGCACTGGATGCACATTTGCTGTTTCATGCACTTCGGCCTTCCTCCGGGGTGACTCCGCTAGTGCCCCTTTGTGTGTGTGTTCCTGAGTCCTCCCTCTTGGTTGTGTATGTGACACTTCAGGTGACACTCACCTTTCTATGCAGTGTGGCTCAGGGCTATACTTCCTTTGAAATTGAGTCCCAGTGCTCCATCTTCTTTCGGAGTCAGACCTCTTCTTTCTCTGTGTGACACTGGACACTACTCTATTTGCATTTTAGCAAAGAGCTGCTGAGTTTAGATCACAGAGGTAATGTGACAATCCGTGTCACCTGTGAAGAAGATGGACTGACCTGAAAGAGCCGGAGAGGGTTCGGCACACTGTGCTCTACAACAGACTAAATTGGGAAGAGCCAAGAGACAGGTACAGTAAAGCAGCAGGTAGAGGTGATAGATTCACAAGGGAGGAATTTCAAATCAGCGAAGAGATTGCTCAGAAAGAACAGAGATCCGATCCGCCTACCAGCTGACATGTTGGGACTCAGCAAGTTGGTGTTTCTGGTTCTGTGCGTCACCCAGTTCATTGTGGGAATGCTGGGGAATGGTTTCATTGGGTGGGTCAATGGCAGCAGCTGGTTCAAGAGCAAGCGAATCTCCTTGTCTGACTTTATCATCAGTAGCCTGGCTCTCTCCAGGATTGCTCTGCTGTGGATTCTCTTGGTTGATTGTTTAATGATGGTGTTCTTTTTCCAACTCCATGAGGAAGGGGTAACAATGCAAATCATTGACGTTTTCTGGACATTTACAAACCATCTGAGCATGTGGCTTACCACCTGTCTTGGTGTCATGTACTGCCTGAAAATTGCCAATTTCTCCCACCCCACATTCCTTTGGCTCAAGTGGAGAGTTTCCAGGGTGGTCATTTGGATGCTGCTGGCCGGTCTGCTCTTCTCCTGTGCCAATGCCTTGTCTCTGATTCATGAATTTCAGCTCTATTCTGTTATCCGTGGAATCGATAGCACAGGGAATGTGACTGAACACTTTAGGAAGAAAAAAAATGAATACGAAGTGATCCATGTTCTTGGGACTCTGTGGAACCTCCCTCTCCTGGTCCTGTCTCTGGCCTCCTATCTTCTGCTCATCCTCTCCCTGGGGAGGCACACGCAGCAGATGCAGCAAAACGGCCCCAGCTCCAGCGACTCGAGCACCGAGGCCCACAAGAGGGCCATCAGAGTCATCTTGTCCTTCCTCTTTCTCTTCCTCTTTTACTTTCTTGCCTATTTAATTACATCATCCAGTTATTTCATACCAGGAACCAAGATGACTAAGATGTATGGAGAGCTCGTTACAATGTGGTATCCTGCTGGCCACTCCTTTGTTCTCATCCTGGGGAACAACAAGCTGAAGCAGACGTTTGTAGAGATGCTCTGGTGTGATTCTGCCCATCGGAAGCCTGGATCCAAAGGACCTTTTTCCCCATAGAATGGCAGAGGGGACAGGAGGGAGCCTGGGAGTCCTTCAGCCTGGCCCAAGGCTACGGAGCTCTTCCTGAGCGCCTCATGGCACCAGCTCTGTAGTGTCAGTGACAGACAGACACTACTGCTTTGCCCTGTCCCACCCAGGGACACTTCTCACGGCCTGTCTTTGTATGGTTGTTTGGGAGAGGGTGCAAAGTCTGTGGAAAATGTCAATGTAGTAAGAGCACTCTCACTGTCTAGACCTGGAGTTGGATTTTAATCACCATCAGCTCAACACAATGAGCTGATTGCTAGCTTTAATATACAGTGGGTACTTGCAGTGATCAGCTGATGTCCGAGTAGAATGGTGTAGTGGACTTGAGGGCAACAGCCAAAGCATGGCAGCCCCACACACTCGGATTTGAATTCTGGTTTTGTCCATTTCCGAAGACTTTTGGCCTTAGGTGAGTTGCTTTGGTCACCTGTCTGACCCGCTTATACCTTATTTTAAAACATGAACTGTGACATCTCAGGGTTTCAGAGATTTGTGAGACGACGTGTGCCAACATGTTAGCACAGCGTATTGTACAAAGCTCTCAGAAGCGTTATTGTGACTAAAGTGAATTGTGCAGCGACAGCAATTCCCACCAGATACGTCTCCACAATTCCATTGTGTGATGACAAAAGCAGTGGAATGAAAATCAAGACCCTTTGCTACTGGGTTCCAATCCAGTCTCCCAGTGATGAAGTCATTATACTCCCATTTTCAACAGTCCTTGCATCCCTTTGTTATTTTGCTAAAGCAAGTTTTCAAGTAATCTTTTTATTTTTCTAGATTGGGCAAAAGTCCAGGCAGTTTTGTTTAATGAACCCAGATGCCTAGCTGCTTTTAAAATTTCAGGTTTATAAAAAAATAATAATTTTTTAAATTTAATTACTTTTATTTTAATAAAATTACACAGGCATTGATTTACTTCCTGTCGCTGAACAGTGGTGACAAGTCAGTGATAATATGATCGCTTAAGGTCACAAAAAATTCTCAGACTTGTGAACATATTTGGTTGGCACACATGGCAATCCTGGCTCTGGATTTCTGTCACTAATGGGTCTGTCAGGTGTAGAGTTGTGGCCAGGACAGTGGACCTTGAAGCCAGAGAACCTGAGTTCAAATCCTGACCCTGGCCCTTGTGAATGGGGTGATCTTGAGGGAGTTCCTTCACCTCTCTCTCTTTCTCTTTCCTCATTTGTACAATGGGAATAGTAATAGTACTTTGTTGATGGGGTTGTTGGAAGGAATGAGTGAGTTAACTAATGAAAAATGCTTGGAGTCCTACATGGAGTACACACTTAATAAATACTGCTATTATTGTTGTTGTTGTTATCTTGTTATATTTTGACATAGCATGAAAGATCATCACATTACTTGGCATTTGGTCATATGTAACCAGAAATTAATTTTAGGATTGTTCTGGGATTTATATATTCATTTCTAAAATTAAGGAATAAAATACCTTTTGGTTTGCATTGTTTGCTTTCAAATTGGCATTTGCCTCTTGGAGTTGCTAGGAAAATTTCTAATTCTGACATAACTTAAGTTCCCTTTCAAAAAGTGTCTGCTGAAACTAAAAGAATGGTTTAATATTCATTCATAATTTACTAAACTATCAGGATTCTGAAACGGGTCCTCCTGTAATTAATAAAAACCTGTGCTTCTTTGCAACCGAGGGCAGCTTACCTATGGAAATCCATGCTGTCTCGATTGGCATCTGCTTTGTGAACCCCGACCTACACCCTGCTCTTAAATTCTCCCTCCCACTCTTTTTTTTTTTTTTTNGCCTTTACCCATCATCCATCTGTGCTCTGCTGTGCTTTGGCCCTCAGGGTCGTGTTTGTACATACAGCTGTGCGTTTGGACATTTTTTATTAATATTTTTTCTGCAGCCCCTGCCATTTGATAAAAGGCGGTCTAGCATAATAGTCCCGTGAAGGCTGTGCAGCCAGACAGTGGGATTGGAATCCCTGCTTTCCTCGCCAGTCCCGCGACCTCTGGCGGGTTTCCTTCCTAACTTGCCCTGCCTCGGATTTCTGTTGTTTTGTTTTCATGACTAAAACAGGGATAAGAATTATATCTACTTCATAGGGCTGCTGTGAAGAGCACGACAAATTGTGTAACTTGCTTAGCACACAGTGACTGGATCACGTGCTCAACACATAACTGGCTGCTGTTACTGTTGCTGAGATGATTTTAAGCAAGGCGTATTACTCTTCCAGTCACCACGCCCATCTCATCAGGTCTCATGCGGTGCTTACGCGGGCACATTAGCTTTCGTGTATTGTACTTGGCCTTGGTGGTTGGGAACGTCTGTGCCTTACTGAGATCGTATTCCACTTGCGAAGTGTTTGTTTTTAATCTTCCATGGCTTTGTACAATTAATCTGAGCACCTTTTGAAACTCACATGTCAGCTGGGCACCTACTCTATGCCATGCGTGCATATGGGCCTGGATATAGGGGTGAATGTCATGACCCCTGCATTGAAGGACCTCCAGTCTAGGAAAATGGGGGTTCGGTGGGGAGGGTAAGCAGGAGCCTGTGCAGCCAAGTGTGATATGACATGAGGAGCACTCGAGTCACGGTGGAAATAAAGTCGTGTGGGCACAGAGGAGAGTTTAGGTTCGTTTTCACCAGAGGAAACAGTGTGAACAGAGGTCCAGAAACTTAAAGGTGTATGAAGCAATGAAAGATAAAACATGGAAAGTGGGTTGGGGCTCAGTGGTAAAGGGCCTTGAAAGCGTACACAGGACATTGGCAGTGGGAGCTCTAGAAGGTTTTAAAATGGACATCTCATCAGAATTGTGCTCTAGAGAGAACGTTGAAGACAGGTGAAGGGGGCTGAGAAGGGGGACAGCCTGGAGACAGTTAGGAAGCCACCGAACAAGCCTAGAAAGGTCAGTAGAGTGGGGATGAAAGGCGGCACGAGGGGCATTTGGGATTCACGTTGATTCATTGTGTGCCGATTATGTGCCGGATCCTGGACGAGGCTCCGGGTCCAGGATGCTGACAGCTCCTGCGCAGAATCCAGTGGTGACAGACTAGATGGTGCTGGTGAGAGAAAAGGCAGGAAATTGCAAGGTGGTTCTGAAGCTCCTGCTTGGGCAGCTGTGTGGATAGTGACACTTTGTTTCTGAGACTAAGGGACACGGATGTGGGAGCAGATTTGAGAAGAGGAAAGATAATGAGTAGTTCTAAACATAACTGTAGACAGCTTACGTTTGGCAGGGTGACGATGAATGCGTCTGGAGTTCAGAAGAGAAGTTGAGACGAGTAACTTTTTTCTTTTGCCAAACACGTTGTAAACAGATTTTGTGAGATAACTTTCAAGTGTTGCCTGAATTCGAGCTTCCTGCTGTGGAAAACCATAATGTGGGAAAGAGTTCCGGTTGCCTACTTGTTAGACAGGACACCCAGGACTGGTTTTAATTGGGTAGGGTGAGATGACAGACAGAGGCCTTTGGCAGAAGAGTTTCTTACAGTTCCCAAGGGGGGCACTCGCCACCACGCAGGACCACACGAGGAAGCCCCCCGGTGGGTCAGGAGGCAGGAGCGAGGGGANGCAGGGGCTGCAGCCTACGCCGTTGCCCGTGACTCACGGCAGCCCAGCTCCAGGTTGAGCTGTTGTTCAGCATCTTAGCTGTGGAGGTCAGGCAGTGTCACTGGCCCTCATATGTGGGATCCGAACCGGGGCCCTCTGGCGTCCCAAGCCAGCTATTAACCACTCGGCCAGCCCACAGCGGTACCCTTTTGAAAACAATTCAAAGTTTGTAGTTCTTATTTATTCGTGACCAATCTCATTCTTTAAAGCCTTCATCAGCTAAGCTAAGTCATCCTTTTGTTTTGACTGTTTGCTCTTAAGCTTTCTTTCCCTACAGGTCTGCCAGGTAGCAGAGTTTGGATTCATGACTGTACTGCACCCACCCGTGGGTTTTCTTGGGCTGCAGTAAATATACATACGAGACTATCTCTGGCCACTGCAGATGGAGATAGTCCAGGGACCTGGCTCAGCAGCAGGCAATGTCAGGCAGAGTCATTTCTACCCATCATACATCTCAGGAGCAAGGAGAAGAGATCCATGTTTGGGTACAGGTGGGAGCTGCCCCAAAATAAAAACTTGGTGTCCCAAAGGTGCCAGTGTCTTTTGTAATAATTTCATAGACGTAGCTTCTGGGGCTGAGCCAAGGGCCACGCATGTAAGAAGTCATCACACTCCAGGAAGCTCAGAGCTGGGAGTCTCCCTAAGATACGTATATTTAAGTGAAGGTCAGATTCTCATGCAGAGGGAGAAAGGGCTTTGTCAGCACTTTTCCCACACCGACCTCCCAGAAGTAACTCCTGACAGAACCAACTTACTCGCTGGCCCACGTGATCACACCTTAATTATAGTACCTCCTGCTGTGGAGAACCCACAACTTGGTATATCACTCTTTGAATGAGGTCTGTTACTGCCCAGTACTGACTTTTCCCTTCTTCTATGACTTCTTATATGTACTCTATATTATTTATTCTATGGAAACATGGTATTTATAATATTTTAACTTGGTTACTTTAATGAAGCATTCTATTTTATAGGTAATGCAATAGAAATATGTGCCATGACATAATCTTCCCTTGCATAGCTTGTTCACTCTGTTTGCCTGTTTAACTGACCTGGGCACGCCTCTGTCAGTGCCCGTTAGTTGTATGAAAAGCTTTGGTGAGCAGCTGGGCTCCAGCTCAGGGAATTCTTCTAGCCTTCCCTTCCGGTCATCTGTGTTAAAGGGCCTCCTGAATTTATTTCCCCCTTCTGGACCTGGTAACCTTCATATCTTTGCTCCATCTCCTCACCTATTCCTATTTGGGTTTGGTAATAGGACTTTGGATGCCGGCTTGGTAACCTATCTGTGGCTGCATCCAGGATTGTACTTCAGTTTCACCCAACTGCTGGAGTGGATAAGAGAAGCCATATCTTGCACTCACTCATGGTTTTCGGTAATATCATTTGCCAGGCATATTGCGCCCTTTCCTGTCTTAGCCATTACAGAAAAACCAGGCAATACGTTGCCTACGATGCCACAAAACTGTAACTAAAGCTGTACTGTGTATCTGGTAGCAGAGTACTTTTGATTGCCAGTTAAATGTCTAACAGGAAATAGCCTAAACATTAACCCAGACCTCTAAAGGAACGCATGAAATGGCTGGCATTCCTTTTCCGAGCAAAAGCAGATCACAGCAAATGATTATGGCACAAATCTATATGTGTGACTGGCGAAGGAATGAAAAGTAAGGAATCATCATGAGAGGATGGAATTAACTAGAAAAGGCTTTCTCGAGGAAGTGTGAGGTCCTTGAACTTGATCTGTCAGATAACTAAATCACCACAAGTGCTGAGAGGTGACAGGGTAACGTTGGCATGGCCAGAATGACAGCTGCCATGTGAACAGATTAGAGAGGAGAGAAGTGTTGGATTCGGGTCATTTGTGGATGTGTGGATGGGGGTGGGTGGGTAGGAGAGAGGCCTGAGGACTCCCACCGTATTGTGGGGTTGCTGTGAAGACAAGCTGCATTCACCTTGAAACAGAGACAGAAATGGTGCTGGACTGGAGCTCTGTCATTTGGACTCTTAAGTCCTTGGAGCCATACTCCTCCCTTCAACTCTCCTCTTACAGGGGCGGACTCCCAGGTTCACCGAGGCTGTTTAAATCATGCATTTCTAAGGAAAACAGGATGTGAATGAAGAAATAGTAATGCAACCCTTGGAAGATTTGCATCTCAGTAAAAGCAGCTGGCTCTTAGGCCACTAATGGCTCATTTGCCACCGCGAGGAAAATTAAAAATGGAAAAGTCCTTCCTGGCTGGATCCTGGGGCCCCTTGCCCATTTCAGTATTTCTCCTGTTCCCAACATCAGCACCACAACTTGTGGAAACCTCCATGAGTCAAGATGCTCCAAATATTGTTTTTCGCTGCTGTGGGTATCTCACTGATTTTCAACGTTGTAGGACTCATTACGAACCTGTTTATTGCAGTGGTCAACTACAAGACTTGGCTCAAAAGCCACAGAAACTCCTCTTCTGATAGGATCCTGTTCTGCGTGGCCATCACCAGATTTCTTATGCTGGGACTGTTTCTACTGTACCTTATCTGCTTCTTCATCTTTCCAAATATTGAAAGGTCAGTCTATGCATCACTTTTTTTCCTGTTGTGCTGGATGTTTTTGGACTCTAGTGGTCTCTGGTTTGTCACCTTGCTCAACACCTTGTACTGCGTGAAGATTACTAACTTCCAACACCCAGTTTTTCTCCTGCTGAAACGAAATCTCTCCCCACAGCTCTCCAGGCTGCTGCTGGCCTGTGTGCTGGTGTCGGCCGTCAGCACTCTCCTGTATATTGTGCTTGTACAGACATTAGCCTATCCTGAATTTGTGCCCAGGAGAAATGGCACAGTATTTGACATCAATGAGCGTGTCCTGTCTTTGGTGATCTCTTTGGTCTTGATCGCATTTCTCCAGTTCATCATTAATGTGACTTCCGCGTCCTTGTTAATACATTCCTTGAGGAGACATATACAGAAGATGCAGAGAAATGCCAGTGGTTTCTGGAACCCCCAAACTGAAGCTCATGTGGGTGCCATGAAGCTGATGCTGTATTTCCTCCTTCTCTACATTCCATATTCATTCTCTGCCCTGTTCCGTAACCTCCCTCCTTCTATGGAGATGGAATTGGGAATCAGGTTTATGTATCTAATTATTTGTAATCTTTATCCTGCAGGACATTCTCTTCTCATTATTCTCACACATCTTAAACTGAAAACAAAAGCAAAGAAGATTCTTTCTTGCAAGCAGTAGTGGAATATTAGTAGTAAATAGTGGCTGGAGTCACTTCATGGTTTGGGAGCAAGATTTTCTCTGTTAGCAGTTTTCCCAGTGGTCCAGGAATTTGTTTATGGAATTGCTGATCTGACTTCCTAGGCCTTAGAGTGGCTGTATTTCAGTTTATTCTGCAATTTTTTTCACTAATATTTCAAAATTAAGCACTTTCTCTAAGGCACTTTTTGGAAGCATGACTTTCATGTATTTTGCATGGGCGTCGCATCCCTGGGTAACGGAAATCACCACATTGTTCTGTGGGCCACTGAGGTGTAGTGAGTTCTCCCAAATTAAGGGAACAGTGTAGTTCACGTCTATTGTGTAAGCCCTGGCCGTTGTTTATTTTTCTTTTTTGCCATGCAAGTGCCTGACTTAAGCTTTTCTTTTTCTTTTTTAATTGACATAACATTGGTTAATAACATTATGTTAGTTTCAGATATACAATATTGTAATTTGATATCTGTGTACACGATAGCGTGCTCACCACCAAAAGTCTAGTGTCCATTTGTCACCATACATTTGACCCCCTTGACCCGTTTCACCCTCCCTACATCCACCTTTTCCTCTGGTAACCACCAATCTATTGTCTGTATCTATGAGTTTGTTTTTGTTTTATTTGTTCATTTGTTTCTTTTTGTTTTATATTCCTATATATGAGTGAAATCATACAGTTTTTGTCCTTTTCCATCTGACATATTTCACTTAGTATAATACCCTCAAGGTCCATCCGTATTGTTGCAAATAGCAATATTTTACCTTTTTTATGGCTGAATAGTATTCCACTGTGTGTGTGTGTGTGTGTGTGTGTGTGTGTGTGTGTGTGTGTGTGTACACCACATCTTCTTTATCCATTCATCTGTCGATGGACACTTAGGTGGTTTCCATATCTTGGAAAACAATATGGATGTTCTTCAAAAAATTAAGAATAGAACTCCCATATGATGCAGCAATGCTTCTTCTAGATATTTCTCTGAAGAATATAAAAACAGAATTTGAAAAGATATCTGCACCCCTATATGCATTGCAGCATTATTTGATATAGCCAAGATGTGGAAACAACCTGACTTAAGCTTTGATTGCAGGGCTTCCACTTCAACGAATAAACACATTGCCAACCACACAACTATTAATAGATAAAGAGCCAGGCTGCCTCCCTCCATGGAGGCTCCTTTGTTTTATAGATATTTTGGTTGATTTCAATAACTGACCATTTGGGCCACATGGGTTTTTTTCCCTGCATTTTAAATTCCCGCTCTTACGTTTTAAATTCACCAATAAAAAGTGAGCTCTCAAAACCTCTCAGCCTCACCCTCTGCCCCAATAAAAGCAGCACCCGAGGCCTGTACACCTTCTTTCCTTGTGATCTCACTGTGTGGCCCCAAGTGTGCTGTGTAATTTCCCGGTTCTATACATAATAAACCTTTATTATTTCAAAGTTCCCTGATGGTTATTGCCCAAGGGCATCTTGTAGTCAGAATCAGAACCTCAGGGGCCAGTCCAGCCACAATATTGGTTATTGATAGGCTGAGACCAGCACACAACAACACTGTTAGGCAAATGTCAGAGGTTTAGCTGAGGAGCTCTGACTCAGCACTGGGGAAATGGTCATTGGGAACCATGGGATTGGCTTAAACATAGCAAGAGGATGCAAAGAGCAAAGGAGAAAGGGGTCGTTTCAGAGAGAAAAGGGAGGAAAGAGAAAGTTGAGAAGACATAGGTGTACATTCCGCAGATGTACAGAAAAACTGTCTTCAGCTTGCTGCCTGACAGTACCTGAATTTCTAAGTTTGTTTTAGAAAGACGGAAAGGGCCAGAGGTGATTAGCATTAAAGAAGCCCAATCCATGATAGTTCGAAGGACCTTCGGAGCTAGCCGAAGGTCAAAAGTAAGTGCCAAATAGTGAAACTAACGCAGTCTGAGTGCAACTTGACAGAAGGTTGTACCCCATCATCCGATATGGAATTCAGTGGAAAGCTAAGAGGAGCCACTGGACTGGTAGTGGGAGAGCCTGCTATTTTGGTGAATTTCTGTGATTTCTTTGTGAATTGATGCATTGAGTTGTATGGGCATCACACAGTTCTCCAGGAGAATGCTATTTCCCCCCCTCTGATTGGAACAGCAAAACTATGGCTAGAGAGGAACAAGAATCTGAAGATGAAATATTGATAAGTTTTGGAATGGGAACTATGGAATAATAATTTATATAGTTTTCTGGTGTTTATAAAATACTTATGTAATATTTGCACATCTCAAAATAATCTTATTAAGATATTCTCTTTATTAACAACAGCAACAAAAGAAATCTCCAAATTTTACAAATTATCTGATTTTCCTTATTTTGGCCACCAGAATCTTGATTGCAGTATTTAGTAAAAATTACCCAAACCAATATTTTATACTACAAAGCCTAGAGGTATTCATCACGTTAGAATCTTATGATTAAGAGATAAAAGAGTTATTGAGAGTGATTAAATGTACACTATGACATAAAAACTGTAAATGAGTAGCAGAAACCCACACGGTTCTCCAATATCTGTTCTCTTTCCCCTCTCTGCCATAGTCAAAATATTTGTAGCTACCAGAAATTAGGCAGCTGACTACATTTTGCAGCTTTCTCTTACAAATAGGTATTGCCATGTGATCAAGTTCAGCCAGTAGAGGATGAGCAGAAGTGATGTATGATTTCTAGGTGGCGCCCCTACCACAGGTATGCCCTCCCTTCCTGGGTGCTGGACGGTAATGCCTGGCCGTCTTGGACCATGCAGCTTAGGTGACTGCCTGGGGAACGGTGGCGTAATTACCCATCCTAGAGTTGGCTTGCTAGTACCTGCCCCTGTCACACCAGCTCTGGACTGTTCACACCTTAACTGCAGGACTGTTCATGAGAAGCAACCATCTCCCTTCTTTCAGACTCTGTGGTTCTGGGTTTCTCTTGTCTTAAATAACTTATGCTCTATCATAAGTACATACAAGAATGTATATCTATGATGAAGTGGTTTGGGGTTATTTACTCTCTTATAGTCAACATTTTTGTATGGCCCAAGAGAATACTTATAATATATTACTAAGTGCAATAAAAACGTATGTATGCAGTTTTTGCTAAAATAACATGAATATACAAAGGAAATTGCAAACAGCAATTATTGTTTTTATTTTTATTTATTTATTTATTTAAATGTTATTGGGGAACAGTCATGGTCCTTGGTTACACATTGCTTTCATGCTACAATTGCATAGTTGACTCTTTTAGGGAGGGCGCAGCTCACAGTGGCCCATGCGGGGCTCGAACTGGCAACCATGGTGTTATCAGCACCACACTCTAATCAACAGAGCTAACTGGTCACCCCACAAACAGCAATTGTTATTAGGTGGGAAGTTTTGAGTAATTTTTTTTTTTTTACATTTCCAAGCTTTCTATGATAAACATACATTTCTTTTGTAATCAGAAGAAAATGTACTTTAAAATATATACAGTATGTAAGTATCAATGTGTCTGTTTGTCTATCGAAGGTCATGTCGGGTGTTCTGGTGTCAACATCTTGTCCTCACTAAGAAAGGCGAGGTGAATAACCTTTCTTCCGGTTTGTCTGGATTCTTTTTCTTGTATTAGCCAAGTTCTGCTAATTCATGTCTTGATTATCCTTCACTGTTTTCATTTTTCCCCATGTGGGCTGGATGTGCTGTTTTTATATTAGGACTGTTTCTGTTATTTGAAGAGTCTTTAGTCTTTGCCTCAGCACTTGCCCAGAGTCCTCCCGGGGTGCAGTCTTATTAGTGCTGTGGGGTTGGAACTTTGCTGGGTCTCATGTGCTCTGCCACTAAGTACTTATTAACCAGGAATTAAAATTTGTTTTGGAGTTTGTTTCTTGAAGATATGATAACTTATAGACTCTCTAATAGAAATAAATGATAGCCTGCATTTCCTTCTGTTCTCTGCCTATTCAGGGAAGGAGTGGGGGAATGTTTAAAATGCCTTAAGAAGAATCACTTTCCGAAATGAAGGGTGTGTGCCAAGGCAGTTCCTGTGTAACACCATGAAACACCCACTGTGGTAGCTATCACCCGAGGGTATTGCCACTTAGCTTATAACTGCTGTGTGCCCAATATTGTCCCCGCTACATTCTCACGTGTTGTTTAACTGCTTTCTCACAACTTCTTTGGCAGTATAGGTATTATTATACCCATTATACAGATGAGAGGCACAAACAGGTTAAGTAAATGGCTCATTATAATAAATCTGGGAAGGGGTCGATCCAAGGCCCCAATATGTCTTCTGGTTCTAAAAATCCAATTCTGTTTTCTCTTATCACAAGGTGGGTGGAAAGATATAGGGATAGAGTAGTATCATGCCAATTATAAAGATTCATTTTCTAGAGGAAAAAAATATTCAAGATGATGTTTGAAACAGGGGTTGTCCAGCCTGAAAACTCACCCAAGGCTGCTGAGATATATATATTTATCTATTTGTATCTATCTATCTATCATGGGTTGGAGAAGGAGGTATGAGTGTTTTGTTTCCTTAGGTGAAATAAATGTCTTGGTGTCCTATGATACTGGGCCTTTAGTCCTGAAATTGATGTGAGATACATTTTTAAACCAACATGTAGTAACATTAAAGAAGAAACCATTTAAACATTTCCTTTAAATTCTGCTATTTTTAGGAAGGAAAAGACCAATAGAAAGATGAGGGGAAAGTAGATACAATTCATATAAGAACTAAATGAAATTCCTGGCCAGTTCAAGGATTTAAAAAATTTCTTTGTATTGCCTAAATTTCACTTAAACATGTGTGATTCTGGGTTTCCCTAATCATTGTTACCAGCATTTTGTTGATGAGCCATTTTCAGTTGTTTAAGGAACAAACCAAAAAACCAAAACAAACAAACAAAAAATAGAAAGAAGGGATGAAGAGGAAGGAGACATTAGTTTTGTAAAGCATGAATTGAACGTAACTTTTAAGGTAGCCCCAAATACCAGTC